CCCACCACCCCCCTCCGGCACGCCCCCACGAATCACCCATCTAACTTTCTCCTCTTCTCCTTACCGCTTCTGCCAACCGACTCTCCCTCCTCCTCCTTCTCCTTCAATTTTCGTTTCTCAGAAGAAGATGAGGAAGAAGCTGCAGCTCTTTTCGCTTCTTTTTTCCTTCTGCTCTCATCCAAAAGACGTTGCTTTTTCCTCTTTCTCTCTTCTCTTCTAGCCCTTCTCTCCTCCTTCGTCTCTCCCCTCTTTGCGCTTCTGCTGCTGCTGATGCTGCTGTTCTTCTCATTCTCCTCCCCTGATTCATAAGCCAAAGCAGACCCTTCCTTCTCGCTCCCCTCTCCCTCCTCCTCCTCCTCCTCCTTTCCTCTTCCCACATCAGCATTGGCAATCTCATCAAAGTCCACTCCCGTCCATCTGACCCTCCTAGCTCCAGCTGCAGCTCCTTGAGATTCCTTCTCCTCCTCCCCTCCCATCCCATGCCCAGCGCCCGCGCTCTTTTCACCCCTTCTGCCCGATCGTCCCGACGCTGCTCCGTACCGCGAGGCAAAAGGAAGAAAAGATTTGTGCGTCGGGAGGGAATTGTGAGGAAGAGGGAGGGAAAAGGGAGAGGGGAGCAGAGAGCCGTGTAGAGATAGTGTGTGGGATGTGATCGTGAGACTGCAAGGACAACGCGCCAATGCGTATTGGGGAACCAAAGAGAAAAAAAAAAAGAAAAAGCGGGGGCACGAGCGACGATGAGCGCAAGAGGCAAAAATGACTCATCGAACCCTCAAATGCAAACATTTTCCCTCTCCCCCCCTTTTTGCGCTTCGTCATCGATATTCCTGCGACAAGCGTGCGCTACTTTTCCCCACGCTCGACTCACCCAATGACGGTAAACACTATTCTTCCATTCTCCCCTCCCAATCTACCTCCATCTTCCTTGGCCCAATACCCCGTACTTTTCCTCCCTTCTTCTTCTTCTTCTTCTTCTTCTTCTTCCTGCTGCTGCTGCTGGTCGTGTTCTGCCTCTGCATCCCCCCGCGCATGCTCATCCACGCCATCCAAACCATAGCCTTCGACGAAACTCCACACTTGCGCCCCCCGATTGGGTCGTTCGAAAGAGGTGCTGTTGGATTCTGCAAGGGCTAGCGATTCGGATGTGGGCAGGTGCATGGAGGAGATGGAGGCGTTGAATGTTCCGTGTACCAGTAGCGAAACGTGCGAAGAGGTGGACAGAGTCAATTTGCCCTCTTTTTTTTCGCGCGCGCGCGATTCGAGAGGATTTGCCCAAGGGGTAGACGAAGAGAAAGAAGGAGGGAGAAGAGGAGAGAGAGAGAGAAAAGGAAGGAGAGAGAGAGAGAGAGAGGCGTGTGAGTGAGATGAGATTGCGGTGCAGGGAACGCGCACCTTGGCAGGAACGAGATGGAGCGAGGGGTGAGGGCAAGGATACAAATACTCACCTAGCCTCTGACCTACGTGAGGAGCCCAGACCAATGCCTTGATGGCTGCGGGTACGGTGGCGAAAGCGCCATCGCCATCGATGGCAGCGCTGCTTCTAAGGAACATGTGCTCATCATGCGCGATGAGGACTCCAGACAATTGAGGAATGTATCTGCTCGCGGGCGCGCGCGCGTGGGTGTATGCGTTCAGCATGTGCTTGCGAGAGGCAAGTGGGAGAGGAAGAGCAGAGCAGCCGAACAATGGCCATTCAGGAGCAACACTCACCGGATGAGTAGGGAATCCCAGATTTCCAACAGGGCCGTCATGGGATCGTGCAGCAGAGAAGGAGGAATGGCCAGATTGAAACTGGCATAGATGACTCTGAAAGCCGAAGTCGCTTCCTCTTTCGACATGTCCGTGTGCACGTGCACCTTCACATCCAACTCTTGTTGTCCCCCACCTCTCCCACTCCCACTCCCACTCCCACTCCCACTCCCACTCCTCTCATGATCCACCGTCAATCCTCTCAAATGAGCGCCTGCAACATCATTCGATCCCCTTTCCCCTTCCCCTTCCCACCGCCTCTTTTCCAATTTACGACGCCTTCTATCTTCCTTGTCCTGCTTCGACTTGCTTTTGCTCTCTCTGCTGCTTCTTCGTGCGGAATGAGGATCTACGCTGCTAGTGCTATAGTTGGAATCCGACTCCATGCCGGATGCGGAGGCGTAGGAGGAGGAGGCGTAGCTGGTGGACCCTATGGATTCCGATTCGGACATTTTTGCTTGCGGAGTGGGCGCGCGCGAATGAATGCCGTTGGGCTGAGGGAGAATGTGGGGGTGTGGGGGGGGGAAGTGGGTGCGCGCCGTGGAGCGTCCAAGTGCCTGCGCTGCGGTGCGGTGCGGTGCGGTTCGGTGCGCATGCGATGGTGCGTATCGTCGAGGTGGATGTTGGGAGGAAGTGAAGAGTGGAAAGCAAGAAGCATGGCGGAAGCTAAGCGTAGGCAACCACCAATACAAATGCACCGCACCGCACCCCGCGTCCAAAAAAAAAAAAAAGTGAAAATCAAGAATCACAAATGGGAAACAAACACGTGATCGTAAGTTACACCGGTAGCCCTTAATTCTTGATTTCCAATTAACCCAGCCGGAGCGCGCTAAAAGCAACAGCATCGTGCAGCATGCATGCAGCAGCAGCTATAGCTCCGTGTCGCGCTGCGTGCGTTGCGTGGGTGCGACGATGCACGGGCACCCCAACGGGGGAAGTGATGTTCGTACGTGACTTTGGTCAAAGGGCTGCACAGCACAGCAGCTCGCATGCCTCTTGCTGCCCCAGCAAGGCTCTCACCCTCACCCTCACCCTCACCCTCACCCTCACCCTCGCCCTCATGACTAGCTACTCGATCGCATCCGACTCACAAGAGCACGAAGCATGAGCATGAGCATGAGCACGAGCACGAACATGAAGCAAGATGCATCGCATCCCACATCTGCACTGGAAGAGCAGGGCGATGTCGTGGCTCAAGAAGGTCGCGCGGACACATATGCGGACGCGGATGCTCTTCCCCCTTCCACCTTCGCATCCGCATCCAAGCATCATCACAAGCATGACGACAACCACACGCAGCATGACGACGACGACGACGACGACGACGACGATGACGACGATGATGAGGCATCGCAAAAAGGGGTCAGTCTCTTCTTCTTCTTGTTCTTCTTTCTGATGCGGCTTTGACATGTGGCAGCTGACGTGTCGCCAAGCATACTCACACGGACCCTTACACGGACCCTGCCTTGACCCCCTTTGAACATCATAGACCTCGCTCTGGCACTTGTATTCCCTCAACCTGCGCAATGCTCATCTCCCACTCTCCCTCATCCACCACGCTGCCGAAGCAGGTCCAAGTCGACCCGATGCAACCCCATCCCGCACCTCGAGATCTCATCATCAACAGCAGCAGCAGCAGCAGCAGCAGCAGCAGCGAAACTCATCTGCAAGATGCGCAAGGATGAGATCCAAGTCCAGCGCTTCTACAGTGCGAGCTGGAAGTGGAGAGCGGCGAGGCAAGGGGGATGGGCGGATGAGTGGAGATGAGGAAGAGGAAGAGGATTTCGAAGGAGTTGCTGGAGCTCGGAAGAAATCCATCTTCCATGCCTCTCTCCAACGCAACGAGCGGGAGCGGGAGCGCGAGTACGACTCGTCGTCATCATCGTCAACATGCAATGAATCGCAGCAGCAGCAGCAGCAGCAGCAGCAGCAAGATGCTCCACGCAGCGCACATCTGCTCGATGCGCAGCTGATCCTTCTCGGCGTGCAAGTATGGAAGGAGGAGATTGGCAATTGGAAGCTGTCGGATGTGGAGTTGGACATTTCGAAGGAGAAGGTGCATCATAGTTGGAGCGCTGTACCTCTGCAACACGTCGCGCTGGATGCGAGGGGTAGGGAATGTCCCTTGAGGCTCAAATGCCTATTGAGGCGGCCCGTCGTCGGCGGGAGAGATGAGCTTCTGCAGCGCAAGCGCGAGGGCGAGGAGGAGCAGGAGGATGTGCGAGAGCAGCGGAACGATGAGCACGAGTGGACTTGCGCTTGGGAAGCCGACGTGATCTGCAAGGATTTGATGATGGTGGATTTGGAACGCAACGTGAGTGAGGATACGTGGTAGAGATGGCGGAACTCTGCCCAGGACAAAGAGAGAGAGAGGGGAAGAGAGAGAAAGGCGCTGATCCGAGTTTGGGCGCACCTCGCTTTCGCATGCCAATCCCCACGCCCAAAGAGGTTGACGGGGAGCCAAAACGATTTCGTATTGGGTTTCAAATCCGAGTCGGATGCGAAAGAAGTCTTTTACAGATTAGACTTGTCCAGCAGCAGCAGCAGCAGAATTCGCGTCTCGAATTCGCATTCGCACGCACGCACGGATTCGGGCGCTCTGGTCACATCCAGCGCGCAGGGAGTGCACGCTGTCAAGGCAACGAAGAGGCAAGACGATCATTCCAGACCCAAAGCGACGCGCGCTACTTCTGACGTGTTCAAGAGGAGCTTGAGAGAGACGCGCATGGTTGCTGGGTACGAGATGGAGGAGCTCGAGAAGGTGTTGGAGGTCAGACGAGAGAGGGTGCAAGAGGGAGAAGAATTGATCAGGTTGATGAGGTGGACGGATGAGTTGCTGCTAGACGGAGGCGTTGTGGGCATGCTTGTGAGTCGGTGGGGGAGGGCCATATTTACGCAATGATGCCTGCATTGGCACTGAAGGCGTGGAGATGTAAGCTGAGCCTGAGCTCAAATGCGCATTAGGATCTCAAAAAGGCCAGCTTGAAGGAAGCGCTCAGAGGTCTTCGAGCGGACAAGGAGCGAGGAAAAGAGCAAGTGAAAAGAGGTGAGCTGAATCGCGTTTGGACGAGGTTGTATGCTTTGCGTCCAGCGCTGCGCAGGGACTGAAGAGCGATACGGTATGGCAGCGCGTGCGACGCTCTTGGAGAGGAGACAAGCATTGAGTAGAAGAAGAGCTAGATTGGAAACTGCACGAAGGGCAAGCGCGGCGGAAGACCGCGCGCTGAGGCGTGCCGGGGATGAAATTGAGACTTTAAAGTGAGCAAATGCATCCCGAAACGCGCGCGCGGAACGTGTGCCATTGGCACTGATCACCGCTTCCCGTACCTCGATCATTGGGGCGCCCAGGAGGACGAGGGAAGAGCAAAAAGGGGCTCTGTACGATCGACGAGCCTCACTGCTGCGTTCGCTCGAGATCATCTATCCTATCGATCTTCTCTCCGCTTGCGATCTGCTCTTCAGCATCTGTCGCATACCTCTATCCAACGATGCAGCTCTCGAAAGCTCTTCCATCGCTAAGACCACCAAAGAACAGCAGCTGCAGGACGACGATACTTGTTCCTCCGCTTTGGGCCACGTGGCTCAACTCGTCATTCTCTTGGCACACTATTTGAACGTTCCAAACCATTATGTCATCGCTACGGCTGGCAGTAGAGCCGTCATCAAGGATCCTATAAGCGTCATGACGGGTCCCAGAACGTGAGTTGTGCTCCGGTGCACCAGGATCTGCGGAGGGGTGAATGGTGTCGAGGACAACACTTGGCAGATGTCACCGAACGATCTCGGCCGCTCAGCTCCCCGCTGTACAAGTGCTCCAGCCTGCACTCGTCTTGGAGCTCAATCTTGCCTTTTTCCTCTCTTTGCCGCCTCAGCTTCCCGCTCTATGCAAAAGGAGTGGAGCATTACAGGTACGAATATGCCGTCTTTCTACTCAACAAGGACGTAGAGCAAGTGAGTGCGGCGCACCGGTCAAACGCATCTCGACTCGACTCCATTTCTGATGTTTGCCTTTCATATTTTGGTTTGCCTGCTTCCAAATCGCCGTTTTCACACTCTTGTCTGACGCTTCATCGGTCAGCTGATGAATCTGAACAAGATCACCGTGCTCGATATCCGACATACGCTTGCTAATCTCAAGAATCTCTTGGTCACGCTGACGGCGCAGAGGAGTCGGCCTATTCGCGTGAGTTTATGCGCCTTCGTTGCTTGTCGACGTACACCAGATGCCATTGCGTATGCTAGGCGCTTGGCAAGACGGTGACGGGCGTGCTTTTCGGTCGCCAGCGAGCATGTTGACCATCCCTTTTGTTCGTGCGGGACCTTACAAGAAGGAAATTGCGTCTCTATCCGCACTCGCACCCATCGCTCACACGCGCCCTGTCCCCCCGCCCTTTCAGTCGCACAACACCTCAAAATCGTTTCGGTGACGCGTCGAAGCAGGGGTTTCGCAAAGCACGAGTTGGCCGAGGGTGGATATTCTCAGCGCGGCAACGACTGCGGCAACAGCAGACTGGATGGACACGCATTCGGGGCAGGATGGGGTCCGGGCGGGCGGCGAATGAGCCATCTACGGATGACGCGTTTCCTTGTTCTATATCCGAGCCCGTCAAGCGTTGCAGGGAGGATGAACGGCAAGGATAAAAGGCCAAACATCAGGCAAAAGAACAGAGAGGAAATGGCAAGTTGACCCGCATTTACTTGGTCCGATTTCCATTGCTGCGAACGCCAAGGGTCCCCAGTTCGAATTGCATTGGGAAAGGTTCAATAGCCCTTGTCTTCCCCCCTTCGCCTTCGCCTTCCCCTTGGCCGTTGATACGAAGCGGCAAAGAGGGCAGGCAAACAACGTGCCGCTTTGCGATGGGGGTGCTCCATGGCAGGGGTCGTACCCCCTTTTTGTACAATCAAGACTCACTAGAATGGCAGAGCACCGTCGACGATGATTTTTCCTTGCCGTGTGCGCGCACTGCAGCGCACGACCTCATCGCCACCGCGTTTCCGCGGGAACCCCTGGCCACTTGGATGTTGCGCTGGAGGAAAACGCATTGTTTCGCAAAAGTGAGGCAAAGGGGGGGCAGGCAAGTTCGTATTTGTGCCCAAAAGTGGGTTTTTTTTCCTCCTCCCTCACATTCGCAGGGCGGCTGCACGATTGCCCAGGGAGAAGCCAACGAATGACATGAATGTATGCTTTACACAATTTTTCCCTTTACAAGTATGCCGGAGCCCCCGCTTTTCCTCCGTCCCTCGCCGACGTCATGTGGTTCAGCCATTTCTTTGGAAGAGAGAGAGAGAGAGAGAGGAGAGTTGGGGGAGAGCAGGGGGAGGAATGCACCGCCTGAATGGTCCGGTGCCACGGCGCACGCCACAGCTTCATCATTTCTGCTTTTTGCCTTCTTCAGCGCTTCCCTCTTTCATTGTATCTTGGTTTGTGGCGCGTGCGCGTTCGCAAAAAAATGGGTCCCCGGGGACTTTTTGCCGCATCAGACGATCCCGCCATCAGGACCCCCC